GGGGCGGTACTTTCACAGGTTCAATCCGATGGCTTAGAACACCCTATCGCATTTGGCAGCCGAGCTTTGTCAAAGGCTGAACGCAATTACTGCACTACTAATGCTTGCCCTAAAGTTCTTCTTAGAGCACTATAAGCACTACCTTTTGGGCAATGAGATTGTGGTACGTACGGACCATCAAGCTCTCAGGTGGTTGAATAACTTCAAGGAACCTTCGGGCATTATTGCAAGATGGCTGGAGGTGCTAAGCCAATTCAACTATAAGGTTGAGTATCGCCCTGGAAAAAAGCATGAGAACGCGGATGCCCTGTCTAGGATTCCAGAACATACGGCAGACGTAGCCGCCATCTCCATGGAACAAACTATGGTTGAGAATTGGGGTGCAGCTCAATCGGAAGATCCCTACATCAGCCTCATATACGATAGGCAGCGCACGGGCTCTCCCAAGCCTACAGACAAAGAGATGGCGGGAAGCAGCCAAGAAGCGCGAGTGCTTTGGTCTGCCTGGAATAAACTTTGCTTTAGGGACGGTGTCCTATACTATAAATTTGGACCATCGTACCCCTTGCGAGTGGTAGTACCAAGGTCCGCCGTGGAGCAAATCGTGACTGAGTTGCATGTTAGTTTGGGCCACCTGGGACCAGCTAAAGTTGAGCAAGCTGCCCGTAGGCGATATTGGTGGCCGGCCATGCGCGACGACATAAATGACATTTGCGCGAGTTGTCATCGATGTGGTGAGGTCAAGTCTCCACCTCACGCGGCCAGAGCACCGCTACAACCCATGACAGCGGGTTTCCCAAATGAACTCGTTGGTTTAGACCTTATGGGCCCCCTACCTCAGACAGCTAATGGTAATCTTTACATTTTGGTTATGGTTGACTATTTTACGAAATGGGCGAACGCTGTACCTCTTCGTAAGGCAGACGCTCTATCTGTAGCACACACACACAAACACACACACATAAACACACACGAACACACACACACACACGCACTGCTCGTCTACATTTTGAGAACCACCTCACAGGCCTGAGAAAACGACGATATTCGTCTTTTAGCGAAACAGCCTTCTGGTGACGCGTTATGAGGCTTCCTCAGGCGATTCGCAGGTGTGCTTTCACCAAACGATATGATATCTGTGCTGATATGCGAACAAGATGTGTGTGTGTGTGTGTGTGTGTGTGTGCATCTACCACAGACTGGCTGGCGTTTTAACCGAAAGTGGTCGATATGGGAATCTGACGCCATACGATAACCCATTTAGGATAATTGCAAGTCGAAAACGGGGCAGAATCACAGTCCAAGAATCCACGCCCCTTCTGAATGTGGCCTACCGTTTAAGACAGAGAATTACTGATCTACCTGTCAATTTCCTGTGCAGCTAATATGCTGGTGACGGGTAACTCATGACTTCACCGATAAATGTGACCATTAAAAACCACGAAAACTAGTGAGGAACCGCCACAAACTGTGGAAAGACAGAAGAGGCCACCGTTGGATAATCCTGGGTACATTCGGTTGGCACTAAAACCCAAAATCCTTGAAGGTAATTTTGGCAGACAAACCGGTTATGGACACATAGTAAGCAGACGATGCAACAACTGTTCAGATGGGTCTCCTGCCAAGTGAGTTTCTGCAGAAGTGTACGCGCCAAACGAGTCAACCAAATACCTGCATTCCTAGATGGAAGACATCGAAGCCAGCCAACGAGTCCCTTCCCAGGGGAAGCGCCTGTTTCACAAATCGTCGCCCCAATTAGTTGAAGGTTGCGCGAAAAAATGGTACTAGCCCACAGAATCTAATAGGGAGGGCGATTATCAAAAGGAACATCACACGATTGGAGATCTGTGGGGCGACGCAGGGGACAGGACTTACTTGTTGGAAGTCGGGATTCATGGAGACCCAAGACGAGGGGACGTAGGAGGCGCCAGAGCCACTGGTGGCAACAGTCACGCTACTTGGAAGACCGACACCACCACCAGCAACACCACCGGAGGAGGAGGAGGTCACTGCCGCGGGGCCGCCACCCGAAGCAGAAGCCGAGGCCGCGGCAGAAATGCCATAACGGAGCCAGGCGGAGAGGCGATCTGATTCGGCCTCCAGAGCCGGTACGGGGGCTTGCATTACCTGCAAAAGAAGTTATTCCTGCTAGAGAGAGAGAGACCAATTTATAGCGATCTCCTGCAGGCAATGAGACAGGAGTGTAACAAACTTGTGTTAAGGCAAATGTCAAAGGCACGCCAAAGCGCTCGAAAGAGGAAAAAAAATCACCGATTTTGTGCATTTTCATGCATCTCCAGGTACCAGACAGAAAGCAAAATTAGGTGGGTACACTTCATGAATCAGCGAACACAATTAAATGTCAGAGAAAATGAAGACCCGTTTTACCTCGTTAAGATAAGCAAATATGGAAGACGGAGGGAGGGAGGCAGGGAGGGAGGGAGGGAGACAGGGGGGCCTTCATTGACAAAAAAGAGAGGTTTCTATTCTCCACCTGCAGATCTCAAGTCTGATTAATAGGATACACAGCAATCAAACACTTGACCCCAATCTCCTTAGACCTCATTTGACGGCTTTATTACACGCTGGCTTAATTCTGGATGTGGCAGCGCCTGTCGAATTGAGGTGACAGGGTAGATAAAGTGAGAATTAAAAGATTGGCAGTTTACTTTCAGGCGCACAGAACGATGGTCCTCCAAGGCCCGTTTCGACTCCTCGACGGTTTCGGGGTTTTGCTTTTGATCAAGAAAGCAGTAAAGTTGGCTGAACTTGTCTGACATGTCGTGGGCGAACATGAAAAACTCCTCCAAGCAACACCGGATTTGGATCCACTCTTCGTGGTGGTAAGGGAGGGTTCCCTGAAAAAAATCCGGAAAACACATTTAAAGAAAACATGCCTCACTAACGCCGCCCGTCATTAAGATGGCCAAGTCCAAACTGACTGCTAGAAATGATTTGAAAGACAGTGGCTTCAAGCATGGTAAGTGGAAGCACGAGCCATCGTGCGAATCACGCTTTGTACAATAGAATCTCTCGTTTAAGACAACTTGGCGTCACTAGGACTGCTAACAAAGCTCACCCGTTGAAATAAGAAAATTCATTCTTACAATATATTCTTTTGGATAATAAAGTAGTAGGTATAAAAGCTAAAGGGGCATCGGAAATCGACATTTACAAGGGGTAGAAAGAATACATATTGCGAATGGGGCACGACAGGCGGAAGTCACGACAAGGGTGAAAAAAAGATGAGTGCAAGCGGTAAAATTGGCTACAACTAACCTCGAGATCTGCAGTTAACTGACTGGGATCGACTTCAAGGAAAAGCTGTTCGACGGACACGAGTTGAATATTGAAACTGAATTTTCCAATGGCCAATTGAACCTTTTGCTTTTCAAAATATTTGTCGGGCTTGATTATGTACGTCATAGAAACATTGCCGCCAATGCATTCCTCGATGACCTAAGAAGACAGGGCGTAAACATGGGCATTTGTAGGAAATAAGACTTAAAATGAGGTTAACAGCACTTGTTAGGAACGCGATAGATATTAGTTTTGAAGTACCTAATGCTTGTGATGTACCGCCTTTGGATGGAAGAAAGCCTAAGACCAAAAATAGACAATTTAACTGCAACAACAAAATATATGGCAAGGATTGGACGAATATGAAGTAGGTAAAGAAAGTGAGGGAAAAAGATCACAACCACAACGTACTTTCAGGATGGGCTTAACACTGTGCCACGTAGTGCCGCTGCGCATATCAATAATAACGGCAAATCCCAGCTTCTTCACGTTTTCTTCAGGGAGGTAAGTTAGGTATCGCACAAGGAAATAAAGCTCCTCAAGTGGCAGGCAATCAGCGTGAGAATTCGCAGGGAAGCAAAGAATCGGTCCGCCATTTCTGGTGCGACCTCCAGGCAACATTGCGTACTTTCCACGAAGGAGGGTGATTAGTTCCGCGGCTCGAAGTCGAGCACTAGTTGACGACTTATGCCCGCCTTTGCAATTACTGTTAAGGGAGGCATAGCCCGATGTTCCACTGCTGACGCTAGCAGCGCAGCCACCTGAATTAGGTTGGCAAGCCTGTGGACTATGTCGAAACACCTCTGGGTGGATTTGTTGGCGGCCAGAGTGATGCTGAACAGCAGTGTGTGACCGTCCTTGTTGATACACACGAAGTAGTTGAGGATGGACACCATGTGAGGTATGAGTGGGACCAGCGACAGAGACACGAACTGCACTGCTTGTTTTTACATGAAGAGGCAACTGTGAAACAGGCTGGGGGCGATGTTGACCTGGAGGATGCTGATCATGAGAGTGGCAATTGTGACCTGAACTAGACAGTCGGTTCTCACTTATATGTGATGGCCGATAGAAGTCCAAAACATCTGGGTCAATGTGTTTACTAGAATGGTCCATTCTATTTGAACATGACAACAGAGTTCCAGATTATACGCATCAGCGCAACAAATAAGACCCGCCACAAGGATGGAGCACCTACGTAAGGCGAGTCGAGATTAAGGCTAGCGCGTAAAAAGACAAATGAGGCTACCTCTATTCACATTGTAAAACAAACAGAAATGTTCAATGCACTCAAAACTGTTCTGACAGTATTGAAAATTATTTTCAAAAAAAGCAAGTCAAAAAATTCAACTTAAAAAGTGCAAGGGTGATACGAAAAAAAACTATGTATTTAACTTGATATTTGTACCGTCATGCCAATAAAGTTCAAAAATATTTGGTGAAACAATGTCAACAGTTGAAACGGCTCAAAATAATGCTAACACTGTTCAAAACATAAACTTAACTTATATCTAAAAAACCAGCAATCTTCTACATTGATCAAAATTTACGAGTGTCGGTCAATGGGGCCAGACTTGCATTTTAAGTAAATATCTTTATAATTTTATTAATATCTTTGAAAATTAGTTGTCTTCGAATAATTTATACTTAAAGGCCTAATATTTAAAAATGTATATACGTGATTTCCAAAGCCAAAAGCCATTTTATTATTCCAAAATTAATTGTTACGTTCCGCATTATTTAAAAGCCATGTTTTGTTAGTCATACAAGCTAACCTACTCGTAAAAGTATTTTTTATATTAATTTCTAAAAAATTGCACTCCTACAACTTAAGTACTCGATCTTCTTGTCAACGGATGATCCTCGAGGTCCATTGTACTAAGAATTCAGATAAAACGTCAATCCAAGACTTCTACGGTCCTTGTCAGTTGACACAATATCTGTCCAAAGAGACAACCCTTGTAATTTGGTTTTGATAATTTGATAGTCATATATTCTCAGTCAAAACGCATGTCAAACAGGGGAAATATCCCATACATTTTTTTTTCTTTGACAACATTCTGCGAAAGGTTACATGCCAGTATAGGCAAAATATTGATAATAATTTTATAACTAACAACGTGCAAATGTTAAAACCAAATGCAATTCCAAATTCGCAAGGACATTGTTTTTGGATAGTTTGAAATTGTGATATCGAAAATACTCCAATCATGCATATAGGAAGTACGCTCAGATTAAGTTTTATTTTAAGGAATTTGAAAACCAATGAAAGTCAAAAATTTTTGATCACTTAGATTTTGTAATACACATATGTCTAAAATTTGCTTTACTAAATGTTTTGATTGGACTTAATAGATTCTAAACATATGCTAGTTAATGCCAATCATCCTTTTACTGAAGATCACATAACCTTATGTGGAAATGTTGATTTCACCATGCCCTAAGACACGTGGATAGGAGGAATATCAATTAACAATCACGAAGCTAAATGATGCGACAAATTTATAGAAATGAAAAATAGACTAATTTGAGCTTATGGGCATAATTTGACAGGTAGTTTATCCTGATCTCATTGTACGATTTAACTGCTTTAATATACAAAAAAACACCATGAGAAAGTTTTGGAGTCTGCCTTTTAAAGTGTTTCTACCTAAAACAAACTCAAAATACTAATTTTTTAACTGGAGGCTTTTTTTACACACATGTAAGCTATTAACGCCGTTGATTTTACCCGACAACAATCGATCGTTTTAACATGCATATGTTACTGTTGTTAAAGCTATAATATTCAGTGCAATTAAGTGCAATAGAAAATGATGCAATATGTTAGAACTAGAAATACCGAATTAAAAGCATTTTCTTTGTTTTATTGCTTTGGAGATGGTAAGTCCGTGCTTGCGTTTGCTTTTGAACCAAATCGAAATCGAAGGTGAGTGTGGGTGTCGTAATTGTGGTGGTTTAGATGCTAAGGTGTGAGTTTTCTTGTCTTTTTTGTTTAATGACAACGTACTATATATGTTTTATCCTATATGCATTTCCTACCACTCGTTACTGTAAGCTACCTTATGGGTGCTTCCATAAGTAAAAGTTAGATTTTTTCCTGTGTATATATATTGTTTGCATAGCCTTTTGTTTAAATATATAATTGTTTTATGAAAATAGTTAGCTAACCGTTTTACATGTTGTTACTTCTATATTGTTTTTAAGTCTTTTGGACTGTCTCTTTTGTTCTGAACTTCGAGCAATTCTTAATCAAGTTGATATTTTTAGTTTTGTTTATTTAGCTGCGAGCATCATACACTACAAATTCTGTCTTGTTGCATTGGATCACATTTTAGACAATGTATTTTGTACCTTGAATTGAAACGACATAGACAGATTTACCTTTCAGTGTGTTTTACACGGAATTCATCCCAATTGTGAAACCGATATGTTTGTTCTTATTCATGATGTAATGCTTTAGTGTTTATTTATATTTTGCACATGCATGGCAGCCGCAAAGCGCCAACACTTATATGATTACTCGTTGCCTTTAAAGAATTTTTATGTTCATGTCATAATGGACTACATTTGTTAATGTCTCGTATCGAGATTTTTCTAATCATTTAGTTCTGAATTTTAGGACAGCTGACCGAATGATGTTCCGGTTTCTTCTCCTTGTTACATCCCTGGCGCTGATTGAAGCGAGTGATAAACCACTAGGCGTTGTTTTTTGGCATGGAATGGGTAATTTCTTTGTGGATTTCTAATATTTTTTCACTCTTCATTATGTGCTACATATGCAGATTTTCCTCTTACCTTCTTAGCTTGTAAAATCCAAATTAGTAAAATACCTATTTGCTTTTTGAGAGGTTCAAAATCTCTTTAAACTACAACTGAAACACATGTACTAAAATCCATGTTTAAAGTTCTTTTTATTAGGTGTTTCTAAACTAATTAAATTTAGTGTGCTTCAGAATATTCTTTCTGTGGTATTCAAGCACTACGAGCATGTAAAAATTGACATTTTGCCCATTAAAGGTTGCTTTTCCGTTGGAATAACTTGTCACCATTGCACGGAAATGTTATTCGATATTTGTTGATTAAAAGCTTTATTGTGGTGTAATTCGAACTCGATTTGTCTTTGTGTCTTTGTCTTTGTGGCGTATTTCGTAGATTCTTATAAAACCGAATTAGATCGCTGAATTTGGATTTCAGATCATGCAACCGTTGAGTTTCGATCAATGTTACAGCACGTTCTGACTCAGACGTCACTTAAAACCAAGTTTTTGCCAATAATTTTGGCATTTTTCATATCTTTCAGGCGACACCTCAAGCGGTGGTGGTATGACGCGCTTAAGTCAGATGATAAAAGACGAAATACCGGGCACGTACGTTCTCTCTGTGAAATTGGGATCCTCAAGCCTAATTGTAAGCCTCGTTATGTAAAACCCCTGTCCTTTAATTTATCCATCAAGAGCGCAGACTGCATAGATTTAGCGAATCCGTTGTCTATACGTATATGGCCCTTCCGCGGTGTTTCCTTTTGGCCTTGAAAACTAGGATTTTAAGAAACCAATGCTCATAGTTCGCGCCGTCTCTGCATATCTGGAAGTTGGCCGTAATAGACGTGGATTGGGCACCAGTTTTTTCAGGCAAACCTAATGCCTTGAAATATAAATATCCACCTATCTGCATCGAGTGTGACTATTGTGAATCCAAACGCGTTTATCTTTTCTTAAATTGTAGGACTTTTTGAACAGTTATTTAATGCCGATAAACCAGCAAATTGAGACGGTCTGCCAGATGGTCCATTCAGATCCGAATCTCTCAAACGGTTTTCACCTAATCGGTATCTCCCAGGCCGGTCTGTTTGTTCGTGCGCTCGCGCAACGCTGCCCACCAAAGGTCCTGGGCTCGGTGATATCGATCGGCGGGCCCCAACAGGGTGTTTATGGTCTGCCCCAGTGTCCCAACGCCACTGCCAACCCCTTCTGTCAATACATTCGGCGTGCGCTCTCGAAGTTCGCCTACACCGACTTCATCCAGTCGAAGTGGGTTCCTTAACTTTCTGATTACTTTGACCTGTGACACGAGAGCGATCTGGTAACGCGTCCGCTTCCGTAACTCCCATTGGCTGAACCTGTTTCCACCAATCACGTGTGAATTCCCCCGTGTACACCTCTGGGCTTCCCATTTTAAACAACACCAACGCCAGTGGATGCGAAAATCTTCCTCTAAAGTCACGGACGTACTTGTTATGACAAGCTAAAGCGTGACACACACCTACAATCAACGTTTTAGTGGCCGCGTTTGTCATCACGGAATGAGTAATCGGGCTACTCCATGACTAATGTTCCGTGCTCTAGACAATTGGTGTAGCAAGTTACAACACGATTGGGTATTCTCGCATGTCGCAAAACACACTCAACCTAATGACTCAGGCAGGCTTCAACACGTTGGACAACCACGTTGGTTTTGCTAAATTCGCGGTATTCGCTTAAAAAGTTGGCATTTTGGATATCTCAATGGTCCTTTTGGATGAAATGGATGCATTTGTGTCGAAATGTATAATCCAGAAATCGATTTGGGGGTGATGTGTTGAGCAACAATGCTCCTTGTAGGTTCACTCAAGCTCAATACTGGCACGACCCACTCAATGAGGCAGTTTACAAAGACAGAAGCCAGTTCTTGGCTGACATCAACCAAGAGAAGGTTGGTTTTTCATTTTTTTTGTTACGTTAGAAACGATTAGAACAAAGTGTCGACATTATTTGCCTTCCATCCTCTCAGACTGTCAACGTGACGTACAGAAACAACTTACTAACAGCGGATAATCTGGTGCTGGTGCGGTTCTTGCACGACACTATCGTTATTCCCGGGGCCTCTGAGGTACGTCGCAGCATTCACACATGTTTGAAAACGAACGCCTACTAAAATCTTACTAGTAACAACGTTATTCGCTTTAGTGGTTTGGTTTCTATCGCCCTGGGTCAGCCGATACACTTTACGATACCAAGGAAAGCAGCCAATACAAGACGGTGAGTTTGCACGCCTCTCACCCAAATGCCGTCATCCGTGCTTGCGGCTAATCACTTTTGTCCGTTTTAGGATAGTCTCGGCTTGAGGACGCTGGACAAACAAGGGCGCCTCCATTTGATCCCGTTGCCTGGCAACCATCTACAGTTCTCTGACGAGTGGTTCCGTGACGTCATAATCAAGGTTTTCTTGAACGGCCGCACCTACACGTAAAGCCAACGCATTTTACTATCTACTGCGCCCCAACTTTTTGTAATGAACTCCGCCAATTTTGTAATGTATAATATAGTATAAAATAACATTGTGTTTAATCTGCCTTCACTTTTAGACTTGAATTAATGGTCGCTATTGGCTATCTATGCTGAATCGCAGATTTCACATGTTTGAAAACGAACAGCTACTTAAATGTTACTAGTAACAATATTATTTACTTTAGTGGTTTGGTCAAACGCGATCTTGTCGACGCGTTCACTGTCGGTTATCTATGCTGAGTTGTGTTGTTGCGAATCTAAGGGACGCGAAATTATTCGGTTTAGGCTTTACCGGACGCTGTTTGAAAGGAGTCGATAGTCCGTTTATTCGAACGTTGTCAATCGCACCGAACAGTGCGCGTTTATGCTAAGGTTACGGGATGGTCTGTAATTGACGAATTTAAACAAACGCCATTGTTCACCCAGGCAACAGGAATAGCTGGCTATGTCTATGTTATGAATTCACGTGGATGGCTTTACGCCACTTCGGGATTTAAAGTAAAGGCTTACCAAGTCTCTTCGTCGATTTACTTCATTAAAACAATGCGTCAGCAAGTGGTAGCTCGGAGTGGGTGCCTGCCAGATTTTAAACAATGCATCTGTCTAAATTAAACCAATTGTGTCTGGGAATCACCTAACGACCAATAGAAAACTCTGTGTCGAAAACGCGCAGAATTCAATTGGTCCTCTAGAGCATCGGTCTATTCAATTCCTGAATCCTATTGGCTTAGAGTTCAATACCCGAACTGCAGCATCTAACTAACACGACCACTTCCTACCTCTCGATAATGCCTTACTTTACTGAGGTGAGCGGCCATAACAGTCATCACGGGTGAATCCGTGGGCGTTTGGATGTCAACGCGCACTTTGCCCAGGAAAACGAAAACATCGGTGCATTACATGGTGCTATTGTTGTCGCTGCTGTTCCTTCACATCTAGAAGCTAAGCTTGTGCACCTACGAGTCTGTTAGTTGGGTGGTTTGGTGACGTCCATGGTCTGCTGAAGGAAGTCCGTGTAGGTGATGTAACCGCGTCGGTGCTTGTCGTACGCCGTGCACAGGTGGTAGAGGCAGTCCTCGGCCAGGTCGATTCCGTGCTTCTTCAAAAAGGCACCCAGATCCTTGGCCTTGATGCAGTCGGCGTGGCGGGAGCCTGCGATAGCGCGGAAACCAGCCAAGAGCGTGTTGTACTCGGAGAGGCACTGAAAAGTTGGCATAACGGTCACCAGGGTGATTAGAATGTCTAGCTTAGTAAAACAATTGTGAAGGTGTGGCAACCAGCCAGCCGGCACAGTTAGCATTCGTAAGCGAACAAAAATCAATCGATTTTTGCCGTGAATGCACTGTCGTGGACAGACAGCCACCGCGCGCGTGAGTGGTGCGTGTATGCTTGCCCGACTGTTTAGCTTAGTAAAACAACGGTCAAGGCCACTGTTGCGAGCAGATGCAAGAGTTTTAATCACACTCCCCAGCTGTTAAAAATTCACCGAATTTGCTGCTACTTCTGTCCTCGTTAGACCCAGTTGACCAACGATTGAAATGAGATTGCAAACGCAACCGAATTTGATTAAACATCTACTTGGCTGTTGTTGCCAAAACACGCATGATGATGATGATCTGGATCTACACAATGAAACATGACTGCAATTTAAGTATGAGTTCCGCGGTTTATTTATGTAGAGAGTAGACACGTGCATGAATTAAACAGTAAATACACGTAACTATCGTGTGGGGAGAATGATGCTTTGTGTGTTCAGTAGCCCAATTGAGGTGTAACCCTATGTTGACTCTCAGAGGATGCGTATAACTGAACAATGCGATTGGCCGATTTTGCCTAATCTGATTGGATGAAAGTTGAGCAGAACCACGATGCACGAATTTGGACACGAACGTCCTCCGACAACGCACAATGGCGCCAAGCGTTTCATTCACCATCCGACGACGACGACGACTATTCGCCTCGGCTAATCACTTGTGTTCCTCTATTACTAAAAGCTCAAATCGTCCAAACATTACTTACGATCTACCCCTCAGAAATCCTATTGGATGCAAAGGTTTGTCTGTTCCTTTCGTTTAACGGGGAGAGCTGTAGTGAATCGTGTTGATTCACGCCCAAGAACCCGGTCGTCGCAGCCTCACACACGCACGTCCCCCTTTTCACGGCGTGCCCGTCAAGCACTAGGACCGCCTGCTCACTAACCCCCCTCTGTATGCACCACCACCACCACCACCCGCTCTATCCATGCCACCAACTGTATCAGTCGGCAAAGCACAGCTTGGTAAACGGTCGCGGCTACCATCTCTTGACTTATTTACTTCCTGGGTTACTTCAACAAGATACAGGAAGAACGGAAATTGCTCAATGGTATCATTGTCGTGCATTTTTGATTACTGACAAAGCGGAGCACTTTCTGAGATGGCTGTCCTTGAGGTTGTTCGATTGGCTATCAGATTACAACAGATCAAACCTCATGTAGCACGTGGACCAATCAGAATGCATGTTCTGGAACAGTTATTCTCTTGTCAAGTTCAATTTATGCTCACAAATGCAAAGGTAAATGCCATTGTCTAGTCAGAAATCTGTCTACTGCCCTCGAAACTCCCCTGGGGAAAGTATGGGGTTATCTAGATTGAGAGTACTACCGATATGATGAAGTCGGCGTTTACATGATTAAAAAAAACCAACCGTTTGGCATTCATGGAGGGTGCAGTGCCACTTACAATTTGCCGAAGCTTGTCCATGACTTCTCGAATTCCAATTTCCTTTCCATCTTTCTACAATTAGATAAGCAAACATCAGCCCGGAATCCATTCAGGTAACAAAACAAGCGCTGGATGCAGTCGCAAGCTGCTTTGGGCACTGCAGCCTTCTCAGAACAAAAACGCACGGTTTTGGGTTAAGAGGACTAGCATTCACCAAGGATGGTCGAAAACATGACCTCAACTCCACGCGAAGCGGGCTTTTTGAGCAGCTGACCATCAAGGGTCTTTAATAAGAGGCATTATCATTATCATTCATTTGAAAGCAGCCTGACTTAACAGAAGCAAGGCGTACACAACTGCGTTAGGGCACGAACCTTGTTTTTCAGTTTGTGATGTACAATGTCAAATTTGTAGCCAATCTTCGGAGGAACGTAGCCTTTAGCGAACCTGCCAAGGAAGTCCACGTACTGGACACTAAAGCAGGAAAAAATGCAAGCAAACAAACCATCAATGCCCTTCGAGGCGGAACGCGCATCCATGTAGTGGCGAGTGGAGATGGACTTACTAGCCGTCATTCTTCTTGTCTAGACCGTGGGCCAGCTCACACAACTCCTCCTGGCTCAGGGGGAAATTGAAGGCCGCACACACTTTCTGTAAGGTTTAAATATGGAAAATTATATGCTCAAAAGGAAAATTGAAATAATTGTAAAAATTTGACAGCTCTGTCTCACCCTGAAGTCCTTCCGGAGCATGGAACCCCAGCCGTTGGGGTCTTGCCAGAGGAAACCGTTCCTGAGATCGGTCCAGTTGGCGACGACCACGGGTCGAATCTTCTGGCAGAGTTGCTCCACTCTCTCGGCCGACGGCTTCTCCTTCTGCTTCCGGACATACTTGATCTCCTTCGCGGCCTTGCCAAGAGCCAGTACCTCCTTCGTGTGCTCCTTCTTGTACTTCCGCTGGCACCGCCAGAAGTCCTTCATCTTCACCAGATTCGGGTCGTGAAGTCCTGTGAGAAGTTGGAAGAGGCATTTGGAGAGCAAAGTAGACAACAGCAACATCAATGATTAACTTCAGAAACACAACGCAATACACTCACCACTCAGCTCTGTCAGTGAATAAACAGGAAAAGGTAAATACGTCAAAAGATCACCACGGTGATCCAGAATAATTTGTAGGTTTGCACTTAATTCTTCGACGATGTGGCGTCTACGATGGTGATTTTTAACATCATGTGGGCTTGAAAACATTCCCCTTCAAGGTTGTGAATCTGGACCTGCCCAATTATATTTAAGGAATCGTCAAGAAAGAAGATTAATTTAAGTTGTTGCAGCGAAATCATGGGGATGATCTTTCCAGCCAATTGGAATTCTGGAAGACACATTGAAGCCATCTTTCTTTCCAGCATGAAAAGGGATTCATTGACTTAACCTGTTGTCACCGGGTAATACTAAAGTGGACTCTAAGCAACCAAAATTACTCCCATTCACTCAAAAACTGTTATTGCTAGTGCAGTAGCACCGTACAGAAATATTGTAGTGCATTTTGTACTCAGGTTGATTATTATGCTGCTACAAGAAAGTCTAACACCTAGTTATCGATTAAATGTTCTCTACTAGCGCGGTTTAACACTCAGATAAGGCCTGCTTCGACTACTATATTCCCTAACAGTAATATCATCTTTTAATTATAAGCTAACTGTCCTCATCACAATTGGACTTAGAGATTGTTTTTGGGACCACGAGCTGTTTACAGAATGTGCATTCAGAGTATATCAGAAGTGGAGCAAGTCCATTAATGCTTGGGCGATTAGCTAGTACTGATAGCGACACGGTGCATTAGAATAAGTTATTTGGCCTAACTGTGAAGGAGGGAAAGAAACGTACTCTTGTTGCGTCTCGCCATAGACTGGTAGAATCGAATGCCACCCGTCTCCAGAAGGAAACGAATCACCTTGCGGTAGTTGTGAAGTCCGTTTGTTGACGGCTCGCGTTCATCCAGTAAGCTCCAAATCGCGTCCAATTCAACCGGACACAAGCCAAAACCGATCCTTTTTATTCACAAGAAAATTGTCGATTTTTAAAACTTGTCTTCTACACGACTTTATCATGCTAACCATCAACACCACGTGGAACACAATTCGGTGGAAGGACCCGTAATAAGGAGCTTTTAACTAAGCCTAAATTCACACCTCGGCCTCATGTGATTATATCCTTTGCGAATACACGGACAAAACACAACTGATCTAAACCATCATCCAAGTAAGAATGCGGCGTTGTTGTAGCAGATCTTCCAGTGTGGGCTTGAGACGCGCGCTGAGGCCTCTACAACTGATCCCCAGTTGTTAAACCTCTAACCCAATCCGATTCATCTGCAACCTTGGACACCGTTGACCTTCAGTGAAGCAGAAGCAGGCGATCTTCTGGAATCAAAGATTCTAAATATTCCAGTGGGAAGTCACCCCTCTAACTGTTCAACACGCCCTAGTACCTCGATTGGACACCGTTGACCTTCAGTGAAGTAGAAGCAGGCGATCTTCTGGAATCAAAGATTCTAAATATTCCAGTGGGAAGTCACCTCTCTAACTGTTCAACACGCACTAGTATCTCGATTGGCTATTGCTTCCCATAAACCTTGAAGATATTCAGAGCACAACTCCCTCGTATAACTAGCCCAGCTACATGCCTACAAATGTGTTCGGCGTTCATATTTCTGCAAACATTTGCGTGCTTTTACACTGGCAAAAGTCTTCAGCATCCAACAACGTCTAGTTTGTGGTTAAAAATGCACCAAGAAAGCGCCCACGTTGAACAAAACACACACACACTTATTAGGAAGACCTACTTTTTCAGGACCATCCCGAAATCATTCTTGTCAACTGCGCTTGACGAACAGTGGTCAAAATGCTTGTATATCTACAAAAAAGTGCAAATAACTTATTTAGAACTCTGATAGCCAAGCTCTTTTTGGTAGTTGAATGACTTTGTTTTCAGGGGTTCTTGAATTCTTACTGATTTTTCTAAGGGATTAAACTTGGAGATTGGAAACTAGTGGATTTAACGCCCTCTCTTACCATACCTTGTCAATTTTACAGAATTTTTCGCTGATAAGTTTCTCAAGGGCAAAAAGCACGAGATTGATGTCACGAGGCTCGCCAGCATACTCAAGGCGTGCTTGCTGCTCTTCATCGAGTTGTCGTCTAGACAAAGAACAGAAATAAGGTCTCAGCGCTTTTAAAACTCATTTTAGATTGTAGAGCTGGAGTTTGGTAAATCAACCAACCAAGGAAATCGAGTGTACTTCGGAAAATTTTGGCGTTTGCAGAATCCACTATGGTTCTGTTCTCGATCGACAAGGGTGACAGCGTAAGACACACAATTCGAGCCACAATTTCGCTAATTCATTGTGCTTTGAATTGGAACCAAAGTGGGTTAAAACTCATGCAAACTGATTACGGTGCTTCTCCAAATCACGACTGCCTCGAATCAGTCACCAGAACATCGTTTGTGGTAGTGCTGGCTAGCAAATCCCATGACATGATTACTATCAAGGAGTCAAATTCCCAGTTTACTACAGCACAGACGTTAGGAACCAGGGTTACAAAGAAATCAGACAGATGTTGCTCACATTTGAGGCGTTTCCAAGACCTCCCAAGGCGATTCCTTACACCTAGAAGTTAAGGAAAAACCACGAGTTAAGTGAATGGGTTAGGCGCAGGCAAGGCCGGTGGTTTAACTGGCTCACATTTTGGAGAAGTGTGCAAGGAAGTGATGCATGTCAACAGTGTTCCTGGGTCGGATACGAAGCTGGCGATTCACCTCCTCCCACTGGCATTCGTTCATTGTAAAGCCGACAGTTGATTCGACAATCTCACGAAAGTCTCTCAGCGGAACACATTGGCCTTTGCTCACTTTCCTTTATCGAGACAAATTAGAAGAAGTTGGAAGTGGCCTCTTGTAGCAGACGTACATTAGGACTAGGACACTTACTCCAATCTCTCAACAAAGTAGAGGTACTCCTTGTACACCGCATTGAAAATTTCGTCCTCCAGGTATCGATTACTCTTGGCACGATTACTCCACGAACAGGGGTCATTGTCCGGACTGTGTGTAGACAAAACTGCGCGATTAGCAAACCAGGACCCAATAAATTCGTCACGAAAGACCCGAACCGATTTAACATTGAATCAGAGAAAAAAACAATTTACGTACCCACGATTCACTCTGTTGATATTATTCAAATTTTTAGAAGGTGGAGCGCATTTTAGCTGTCGAAGGAGTTTTATGTAATTCATGCCAATTCCCTTTGTTTTCGGGTTTTCACACGCACCAACGCTGGCGTCGGCAAACAGGGAGAGACGCAGAGCAAAACGCCGTAGCTCTTCTGGCTCAACACTTAGTCCACATTCACGCAGCACAACGAGCAGCTGATCTTCAGGTACGCTACCCTTACGATCCTTATCCAGCAATTCAAACACTTGAGTGAGCGCCTTGTAGCGCGCCTCAAACTTTAAAATGAAAGGCAAGAATTACATTAAATTGTAGACTAAATGAAAACACGAATATAACATGAAGAGACTGCCATTTCTCAAAAAAAGTGTGATTAAGGCCAATAAAATACATTTGGATGATGTGAGCACAACCAAGGTGCAACTTACAATATATTTCAGCTGAAGTATGATATTTCTAGAACGCGGTCGATTCTGAAGCACACGCAATAGTTGGTCCTTGTAGCGAATACCGTGGGGCAGAGATTCCAGTACGGGCAGCTGATTGGTAGGCTCTTCCTTGGCTTCTTGCTTTGGTGCAGGCGTTTCGGAAGTTGCCTTCACTGGAATGGGGTCCATCACCATTGGAGGGCAAGGGTTTGGTTTCTGACAAGAAAAAATTGATTCTAAATGCAAGTTTGTGCAACTGTTGGAAATTGAATAAATATTGTGCTGTGCGTGTACAAAACGTACAGATAGAGGTGCGCTTCCATTAAATGACTTGTATTTCGCACGATGCTGGTCAGGAAATCGGTAATCAGATACTTTTACATCTTCAGACTTTGGAGTTCCGTCCGGCGTAAGACCCAGTTGATCAATCAGCTGTTTGGTGGGTATTGAACCGATGCCTTCTAAATCGAACTTCCTAGAGACATGTGACGAACATAGAGATCATACTGTTCCCACAATCGTCGAAAGTTTTCATCGGTTAGTTGAATACGCATGCGGGCAAGCATCTCCCGCATTTGCGGCTTGAGTATTCTGCCATTTTGCTCAAAGCAACTAGTTGGTAGAATCTCTTTTAGGTTAAATCCCTTGACTTTCGCGCCGCGAATTATAGTTTCAAGGGCAAAGGCCACAGATAACTTGTGATCGAATCCGGGACCATTGTTTATGTCCGGCCCTTCAGTTTTGCCAATAGGTGGCAAACCAAACATTGCTTCAAAATCAGAAAATGACAAAATGGGTGTCTCGTTCAAACAGTACCTAAAGAAAATCGGTTTTTAAGAAAAAAAATACCATATACCTCTCGCAAATGCGATGAAATTGGTCCATTTGCATTTCTGGACAAATGACGTGAAAAATACGCAAAAGCTCTGCCCTTCAAACTGTAAGCGTTACAAATATCATGTACTTAGTCACAAAGCCCCTTTTAAGACAGTCAGCATCTTGAAAGAGACGTTTAATGTAGTATCTTCGACGTTGAAGTTTACAACGCAAAACAGTATCAATCTAACATTTGACAGTAAATTTAAACACTTGCCTCATCTAATGAGGGACGTTTAAATGGTTTTAATTCAAATGGTTTTAAAATCCATTTCCCCAGGTCTAAAAGAGTAATTACAAGCACTCACAAACCGTCTTTGTTACTAGGAAGTGTGTAGTGGTACTTTTCATTTTCAAGAGGTCTAAAAGATTGGAAACCGACCTTGATGTTATTTTTTTCACGGAGAGTGCGAATTGTGTCCGCATCACTGCATTTTGTTAAGGGGCGCACTTCAAATATTCCATTTGTTAAACCTTCAGCGGGAGTATATACGTTTGGTTGAAATACTCGGTTTGTTGAAAGCTCACTAACGACAACAAATCTTACTTAAATCGACCTACTGCGGTAGTTTGCACACCCTCCCACGCATTTTTAATTTCCGCTCTGTTGGCATAGGAGTCATTTTCGTTAAGGTTATGAAGGTCACTAGATTTAACGGGCAATCATTCTCGAATTGGATTACATAGTCACCTTATACATTACAGTAAACTTGCGAAGAAATTGGCCCTTTAAATCAAATATAGTGCAGCATTTTGGCATAAATTTTCTGTGTTACTTTTATAGGTAAAGTAATTTAATCATCATATGTGAATGAAACTAAATACTCGCTTAAGTACATTGCTTGACGCAAATAATGGTAAATTATATTTTGCTCTGATAAAATTCACGATACAACGAATAAAATTGTCCTTGTTTGGGTTGACTTTTTTACTTTGTGATGTAAATCGTTTAAAGCAATTTACTGTTATTTTGGACTATTAGTTAAATTATTCTTTTATCCATTAAAACTTCATAAACTCTAACCCTTTTGTACATTTTGACTCAACCGTTTCGAGGTACATTTGAATAAATATGGATCGCCACCACAATTAGCGTTTGGTAGGTCCATATCTTACCTTAGCGGATTCCCTGCTAGAAGACTTTGATCTGACTTTAGCACCTCAGCTAATTTTACTGCTTACCTTTGACTATGTCTGGATTTGTAAATGCCTCTAAACGTGGGGAACGTTTAGAGGTGCTTGCTCACACACAATTCAGTTCACGTTTGTAACGTACAAATGCGCATGGAGACACACATTTGAGGAAACCCAGATTCAGATGTTCGACAAGACTCAAGCCTTTATCACCTATAACCTTCAGATTTTAATCTGAATACTTAATGTTACTTCATTCTGAATCAGTAAGGGACACTTAAAGGGACCTTCAATAGCTAATATAGATTGATTGCTATTTGGCTGATCTTTAACACATGACTGACTTCGTAAAGCAGGACGAACATCTCTCATGCTGATTGAACTAACTCACAAGCACAATGCGCAATTATCTACTGGTCGAACTAGTTCTTCAAAACCCTCAAGCACTCATTCTCTGTGATTTTTATCTGCCATTCTGATTATAACATCGAGCGCTGTTGACAATAAGCCAATACAGCACAGTTGTATCGTAAATAGAACTGCTAAGACCATGTCGTTTGATTAGAAAACATTTCTAAGCATTGAATCAAATCAGATTGCGCGTGAAGCATAATTTCTTTACATACTTCACCACAATAAACGTGTCTCTATGCCCAAGGGTACCCTGACAACGCACCCCTTTGAGGCCTCAGACAGAAACAAACCTGTTTAACTGCTTTCAATTTCCTTTTTGCAAGATGCTATTTGGCAAGCTATTCAAGTAAAATTGTTGAATACATTTTAGCTGTAATTGCGTGGTCGATGGGCCAAATACACTGCTACAATCCATCATCAAAAATAAAATCTGCTAGTCTTCAGGCATACTGCGGTGCATGTGTTAATGACCAAAAAGTTAAGAAACGCTCAAATGCTATCAACTTTTTTCTTCCAATGAAAATTCACAAGAATTTTAACATGAGTTAAATAAGTCCTTGTATATGGCAGGACCGTTTTGCGTTACTAAACAGGAAGAACTCCGTTATCTCCCATCTGGTTCTAACGCTTCGCTTGAATACGAATGAGGTGAGTATAAACCTATTAAAACACACCAGATATGAAGCTAGCTATTTATTTAAAGTTAATCCAAGATGGATCTAGATGTTATGTCAAATTGCTTTTAAAAGGTTATATCTACATTATGAATAAGTGCTTTGTAAAGTAGTATCTCGGGGTAATCAGTTGGTTATTTGGATCTCAATGCATTTTGCCTTGCTTGGTAAATTACAATTATGTTGTAAATCACAATCAGAGCAAAATCGCAACACAGCCATTGACCCTTTTCCCTAAAATGTGTTTCGCAGGATCGGTTTGTACCTAACGTGCACACAGAGCGAATTTCTTGCCTTTAGTCCTTGGAACACAATTTGGTCATAACTGCTGTGATCTGATCGCAGTGGAGCAGAGCAGTTCCATGTGGCAAAATAAACCTTAGACGAAATACCGTGAACACACGGCAATATTCGCGTTTGTAGAGGCATTTGGGTCAACTAGTGTCGTGAAGAATAAGAGTTGACTACAAAATCAAAGTCTAAACCGTCTGAATGTGGAGAGTAGGTCATCTTCATGAGACACATTGTTAAATCTAGCAAAAGTATACTAAATCAATATTTACTTTGACACATTCAAAAAAGGCTTCGTTATCACTAGACAAGGTTTTGTTGTGGGCCCCAGCATGTGGGTCTCAACCATGCCGGGCCACGGAATTAACTCTGGCCCGATTGCGTTTCCCTGATACCCGCGATGAAGAAAAAGACTGGAGAGGACAGGACACAACTGTTTACTCAAAAGCTCAACCACGATGGTGTCGTTGTGACATGTGTGAGGTTTAGGTGTGCGTATTTATACCTCGGATGCGTGAGTCATACAAGCACTAACATCGAGACCCAGGTGTGAGGATAATCTAAGATAAATAGTGTGAATGAGGGGGGATTGAGGATCCGCGCGGCTGACGGCATGCTGCGATAAAGGGGAACCGTGTGTCAGAGGCGGGGCGATCGGATTAAGAAGCTGACTAAACACGATTCACGACAGTTTGAAACACGATAACATTGCTATTTACAAAAAATGGTGAAGGAAAATTTAGAGCTAAACATCACACGAGTGTCTAGATCACACCTTAAAAATGCTCCAATGTTAGTTTGCGTAAGTTAACACATTGGAAATTACAAGTTTTACATGAAATCACGAAGATGAAATGCTATGAAGGGCTAAAATAAACTCCACTACAACATTCTTGCCCTGATGGAATGACCTAAGGAATGATTAAGGTTACGATTAATTTCGAAGCTAATTTTTAAACTAATTTACAAAGACTTTGGAAATACAAACGACGTGACCTTAAAAAATCACTTTTTGAACAGATAAAATGGTTCTCGATTCCATTTAGATCCGTTATGTTAACGAGGAGTTTGCACAAATGACTGAAATGCATTACCGTTCCTCTGAGCAGTGAGTCGCAAGCAGATAATTACACACCACGATTAGGAAAAGTCCCGATTTCAGAAGTCAGGAGCACTACTGAAGTAATAAAATTGGACGCAATTGCAATTTCAAAACATTTGTTCAGAAGGATTGAAAGTCCTTATTTAAACTTGCCTTGTCAGCTCGCTCTTGAAAACCGATGTAGATTTGCGGAGCTCCAATAGGAAGAAGACTGGTACCACAGAACAGGCATTATTGACCAACCACAAGCCGGAACCACTCGTCAGGCGCCGGCCATCCGAGTCCGTCACGCTGGTCACGCCACTAATTATGTGCTGTACCTCATTCGTGTCCTTCTCTGGCTGGCTGCTTATCTTCCTAGCATGCCATTAGAACGCAGAGGGACACAGGATTGGCTGAGACAAGCGTAGTCCAATATGTCTGCGTCCTCAGACGTCGCCCCTGTAAGTTTCCGAT